AATGAGTTCGTACTAGTGAATATACAAAATTATATTTGAGATACAGAAATTGAATGCTATTTATTCATAATTATCAAGTAAATACTGAAGTTCTAAGTTCGTGGAATTGACTACATATGTTATAAAGATACATATTTTTAACAAATATATTGACTTGGTTCAACTAGACAAAAAGAGAAGAAGAAAATAAAATGGAAATAAAGGTGGCAACAAAGAGTTTAATTGGAATACATATAATATGATCATATCGATGATGATATTGTAGGGAACTAGAGGCGATCAGTTTTATGGATAACATGTTCAAACCTCCATTTGGTACCTATATACATTGGAAATCATACTATATCAAACCTACCCTCAAACAACATTTTTTTTAGTGTAGTTCTGAATTTGCATTTATTCATCATTTTCAGGGAGTCAGGGATGGCGTTATAAATTTTGGATGCATTGTATGAGAATGATCGTTGGTATAGTGACGTATGGTGCTTAGGACGGTTAAGGTGATACCTATATCTGGTGTTGATTGTGTGAACATCTTGCCTGAACTCAAGTTTTTCATATAAATATACTGGGGATTGATATTGAATTAAATTATGAGTAAAACAACACAAATGTAAAATCCATCTTTGTTTCATCGTCAACCATCTGGATTCTTTTATTTTATGAGAAATGGAATTTCGTTTCCTTACACCGTAAATCAGTCGGGCACAAGCATTCTGTACAACTTGAATTCTGTTTTTATCATGATTAGTAAGGCACGAATAATACACTATGTCAGCAAAATTGAAATGGCTCAGGACTAGCGTATCGCATAGGACCTGTTTCGTCTTTAAGTCAAGAACTCTTGAAATGTTATAAATTAGTTTCAGATTGCAGTAGGCCGTTCTTATAGTTTTTGTTACATGATCACTGAATCTCAGCCCGGAGTCCATTAGTAAACCCAAATTTTTTGCAGAATCAACGATTTTAAGTGCTTCCGAGTCAATTGTAATGTTTATTCGTTCTTGTAGTTGAACTCGACGGTTTTTGTTCCCAAATATCAACAGTTTGGATTTTGCAGGATTGATGATTAAACAATGCTTTTTTGATGCATCTGATAACTTATTCAGATCCTCATTGATAAGAGTACAAGCTTCTTCTATATTATTATGACTAAAAGAATAATAAATTTGCGTATCATCCGCATAATAATGAGATTTACAATGTGATAAATAATTTGATAAATTAGTTGTATATATCATAAAGAGCAACGGGCCCAGGATCGAACCTTGAGGGACTCCAGTAGTGAGATTCAGTGGGACAAAAATTTTATCGCCAATTTTCACAAACTGTACGCGATTAGACAGATAATTTTTCATAATGAGTTGTGCACTGTTGGTAAAACCATTATAGTGTAATATTGCTATTAAGAGTTCATGATTGATGAGATCGAACGCCTTTGAATAATCTAATAAGACGAGTGAAACTAACTGATTTTAATCAATGGCAGAAAACAAGTCGTCCGTGACATTGAGAAGTGCAGAAGTACAACTGTGCTGTGGTCGAAAACCTGACTGGTTGGCCGGTAAAAGCCTATGTATCTCTAAGTACTCCCTTATTTGTGAATTCATAATTTTTTCTAAAATTTTTGAAAGCATAGGTAAGATACTGATTGGCCTTAAATCCTTCAGGTTTTTCGGACTATTAATCTTTGGAAGGGGCAGCACATGTGCTACTTTCCAGCAATCGGGGAAAATGGAAGTTTCTATACAGAAGTTCACGATATGCGTGATGTGCAAAATGATACGAGGACAACACAGTAGAATCATTTTCAAATTTATATTATCTGGACCAGTTGCAATAGATTTGATTTCAAAAAGATATTTTTTCACTGTTTCTACATCGACTGGGCTGAAATAGAATGTGTCTGAGCCTGCTTTGATATTATTTTCATAAAATTCTTTCATTACTCTATCTGGAGCATTGTTTCCCTGTGCATTACCAACAAAATGTCTGTTGATAACTTCCACGTCGGATAGTTCAAAAGGTAGGCTATAATTATTGTTATACTTCGATCGAATATTTAGGTTCCTTAGAGTTTTCCATAGGGATTTATTTCCCTTATTTTCCCTCACAAGGTTTGAGAAATAAGACTTTTTGTGATGTTCTACTGCTGAATTACAAAAGTTTCTCATTTGTTTGTAATTTAACCAATCTCGTTCAATTTTTGACTTTTTGAATTTTGCTAATGCGTTATCTTTTTGTCTTATTATTTCTTTCAGGTCAGGAGTGAGCCATGGTGCATATTTCTTAGTAATTCGAGCTTTTCTTATTGGAGCGTGCTTATTGAAATGATTCAGTAGTAGGAGATTAAAAATTCTTACTTTTTCGTTCACATCGTTTTCATAGAAAATTTGATCGAAATCAATTTCCCTCAAGTCCGATTCGAAAGCATCCTGGTTGATGTTCGTAAAATCCCGATAGAAGCGGAATGTTGGTTCAGAATCATTACTGTTGAATTTTACTTTACAGCTTACAAAACTGTGATCCGATAAATTCATTACATCAACTGTCTTACATTCAGTAATCTCAACATGTTCTGAGCTTAGAAATAGATCTATTAAAGTTGCACTGTTTGCACCTACTCTGGTTGGTTCGTTCACATTTTGACATAAATCGAAACCTTCAATTATGGAATTCAAATTTTTGAAATTAATTGTATTGGTGTTGAGGAAATCTATATTGAAATCACCACCGCAAAAGACATTATCAAATCTGATCGTGACATTACTCAGAATTTCCTCCAACGACGCTAGAAATTCTGTTACAGGAGAGAGTTATATGCATAATGAACATTATTTATGCACATCAAAATCAAAATAATTGTGCAGCTTAAGGTTTAACTTGGAATATCCCTAAAAATATTGAATTTATGAAGCAGTACGATATTTTTGTAGGAAGTATTGGAGAATCAAACAATTGTAATAAAATGGCAATTCTGCCAGTGACATAGAGTTTGGGACAAGTTTCAACCTTCTCGTAAACCTCTGATAGTAGCCAGAACCGTTTATTTCACATAATTAAGTGAAGTGTATAGTCACAAATTTCCTCCAAATATGACAATGATACGTCAATTAGTTTCAAAGTAATATGCACATATTATTTTCAAATATTGATTGGTGATTTGGTTAAATGTTCATATTCTGAGCTCAGGATTCTGTATACATTTGAAATATTCCCAATTCGTTATGAAACACCCTGTTTATCGGGTACAAGACACGTGAAAGTGAAGTGTCTCTTTGTGGAAGGTGTGAGGTGTTTATATTGTGGATTTCAATGAAATATCCTATCGTGCGCTCCAAGAGATAAAAATTATATACAGGGTGGTCCGTTTTTTAATGAATTTAACAGCGTATAGTACTCGTTGAAATAATAAAAAAACTTCCTATGAACATATACTTTTAAACGCGTCGTTTTTGAGATATTGGGTGTCAAAAATACGCTTCTGAATAGATTTTTTCAATCAAAAGTTAGAAACGAGTTAGATAAATTAACGAAATTTTTCACAGACACTAAACTTTTTGAGCTTTATTAGATTAAATAAAAATTATTCATGAAAACTATTCAGTGGCGGCTGAATCTGGGGTGGCGAAGGTAATAATTACACAAATTACAATTAGTTGAACGAATTAATGAACGTTTCAATCAAATGAAATTGAAACCAATACAAATTTCTAGTTCAGTTAATTCGTTGCAAAAAATGCATAGAGGTTCCTCTAATGAATTCCTTTGTTTTCTATTGATATTTACCTAATTTTATTCTTTAAAAGTTTGATTGATGAACCATAATGTTTTCCTTCGCCACGCCAGATTCAGCAGCAACTGAATATTTTCAATGAATAATTTTTATTGTATCTAATAAAGTTCAAAAAGTCTAGTATCTGTGGAAAAATTCGTTAATTTATCTTGTACTGTTTCTAACTTTTGATTAAAAAACTATATTCATTCGGAACCGTATTTTTGACACCTTATATCTCAAAAACTAACTAGTAAAAATGTACTAGCACGGCAACATTGTAGACAAATAGCAGGATTTCCACTGCGATCTATGGCCTGTTGTGGCTCTTCTAATACGTAAATGATTGATTTGCAATGGTTACATGATTGGTTTGGTAAACGGCCAATACTAACTAGATTTAATACATTACAATGTTTCTTCCATTGGGTTTAGAGACATGCATAGGTTTGGTTTTTATTTTTCCTTCTGAAACGAAGCTATTTGATCAAAATCTAGGAGGGCAAAAAAATTGTATTTTGAAATGCACGCCCCTGAAAATATGTAACTCATTCATGAACTGTAATAGGTCTGAAAGTTAGATTATTGATATTTCCACAATAGATATGAATATCATCACAATCGGTTATAGCATTTCTGAGAAATCAATAAATAATCGATTTTTTAAAGAAACTTGAACACTCTATATCTCGAAAATTTTCCGAATTAAAAAACAGACCACCCTGTATATAGGGGCTCCAGGAAAGGCTGATGAGATACTTGCATATGGACGCATGAGATATTACACGTAGTTCATCATTTATCCGTCTGGAAAAATTAATGATCCAGAAATACCAAACTTTCAAAATTTTGAGGACTGTTGAATTACATCTATGTGGATTGAAGTATTTTTTATATGGAAATCATTGTGAAAATATCTTTCAGAAAACTACTACTTCACTGAATGATATTACATAATTCCATATACTGTGAAGTACTTTTTACCCAGAAACAGAAAAGTATAGTTGTCTTTTGTTGGATATTTCAACAATAATTTTCATTCGCAGAATATGTCACAATCAGATATAAAGACATAAACGAATCACTTTGTATATTATGATATCGACACATCAAAGTGTCGAAGTACTTCAGTGGAGGTACCAGGAGAACAAATCCAGAACTGCACGACACAATTCCAATGGATTTGAAAACAACACCCTCAGGAATCAATATCATATCCACTCACCAGGCAACTCCAAGAAATTGGAAGTTCTCCTCTGCCTTCCGCGAACTGTATTCTGGAAATTCAGCGGCCCGATATCCTCATTGGACACATTGGACATATTGGAAGCCACGGAATCTCTGGAGCCTCTTCTGGAGGCGAGATACGCTAAGCCCCCTTTCACAGAACCTTTGCGCCGTGGAGAACTAGGTCTGCTCAGCGATGTAGTCATAGTGTTGGCGATGTCTTCAGTCATATCTGTGAGGTCCGATGTTGATTTTCTGCAGCGGCATCTACAATGAATCCAATTTTTATTCAAAAGTCAGCGCAAAAAAAAATTAAAACCGGCCAGAAACAAATTCAGTCAAATTGACCACCATGTAACTTTTTCAATTCTTGTTCGATTCTGGTGAAATTTTGACCAAGCCGTAGATTTATGTTCAGAAATGTTAGCTTGTATTTTAATTTGCGAGGAAAGCTGATGACTTCCTTATTATGAAGGAAAAAGTTACCCCGTTGCCCTCAACTTCTTAACGCCCTGTGGTAGAAGTGAGTGGCTTAACTTGGCTCAATAATATTTTGGATCGAAGTGACGATTTTTGATTTACGTCAATGACAGGGTTCAACATGAAGGCGTTGAAATATTCAACAGACGTATTCCTGAAACACTTTCAAGAAAAAAGGTCTATATAAACCTGCGCCTAAAAATGCTTCGTTTTGTAGATACAGGGTGTTGAAATCCAATGTTTTTGGTGGCTTTTTGAGAATAACTTCTGCAAAAAATAAGTTATCTGCACGAAATATGGTACCTAGAACTTTATCGACGCAGATAATCGTATTTTCGTAAAAATTTTCATGTACGCTGTCATTATTTATTTCAAACTGCCCTTACATTTTTGACTGTGAAGTTTTGGTACCTTCCATGAAAAAACCCTACACCTTCTTCAAGTGAGGAAAGTCCTTTTCCTCAAAAACGCTGGAGGTGATCAATTTCGAGATTCTTACAGTTTTCTATATCGATGCATGTTACTTAGCTCTCCTAAGGCGCTAAGTGAAGTTTCTGGGAACATTAAAAAACCAAGTATGTGGTAGGTATCGTCAAAATAAACTACTTTTCTTCCATGAATTGTTTGTCAAAAAAAATTTGTTCTCGAGATACAGATGGTTGAAATTTTCCAGAACATGCATCGATATAAAAAATTGTAGATGTCTCGGAAACAATCACCTCCAGCATTGTTCTTCTAATTGAGAAAGGTGTAAGGTTTTTATGAAAAGTACCGAAAGTATACTCAAAAAATTTCAGGACGTCAACAAAACCTCGGGCGCCAAATTACGTGCAAATATCTCATTTTTAGCGAAAGTTATTTTTTGAAAGCGCACCAAAAAATTCAGTTCAGTGCCTATTGACTTTGGATAGACCATACATCGATAGATGCAACAGGTCGAATATTGTTCTGATTTTTTGATATGTCGCAAATGCGCAGATAGCATCGCCAGCACCAGAAAGCGTCAACATTTCGGACCTTCTTCTATATTGTATGGAGTTTCAGGATGACAGTCGAGAAAAATAACATAACTGTTGGCAATTCTTACCGTTGTAGGGATTGGGGCTGCCTCTCTGCCATTTCAGAATCATTGATGGACTTGCTCGATCCGTACCTCTCGTCATATCCAGGATTCGTTCTTATGTTGCACTTCGGTTTCCTCTTCTCTTTGAAGGACGAATGCCTGGAGCTGATGCTAGCTGTCGACTGTCTGATGTAGCTGGTAGAAGTGGTTTGAGAGTCTGAGTCCAGAGAATGGCAGACTTTGTACTCTATATCCTGATAAGCTCCTGTGGGGTGTTTGATGGTGGAAGAATATTCCAGGCTGGACCTGGCAGAGTTTATTGAGTCGCTCTTGGAGGACTGGTACATCTGACGGTTGGTGATCTTGCTCGATTTCTTGGGGGGTGAGGCTAACTTGATGTTGTTGGAGTCGCAGTCACTGGAACCTTGAAGATATTCTATTCTTAGGGCCGATTGCATAAACAGTTCACTGAGATTATGATACCTATTATTATCGATATGGGATAATTCCCCCAGGTATACGAGTGTGGTTTCAGGTATACAGGGTGTTTCATAATTGAATGTGAATATTTGAAGAGACGATTCTTGGGGCCATTCTAAGAAGAAAGTTTCATATGAACGCATGGCCTAAACGTCCTAACTTTTGAGATACAGGGTGGTAACGTTCTCAAAAATTGATATAGCCTATACTCCAATGAAAAGTTTCAAAATATCAAATAGGAATACGAAGTTCATGAACTATGAATTGTATTTCTGGAATTTGATCTAAAAAATATAATCTATTCCTCTGCATTATGATATTGTCATATTAACGATAGTCCTATGATCATGTAGAGAAAAGCTTTTTATTTTTTTAAGCAAAATCCGTGCATCAAATTGAAGAAATTGTTGTGATCAAATTGGCTCAGAAATGATTCCAATTTCGAGATCAATCAGTGGCGCACCATCAATGTCTGCCAAAATAGGTATGTGAAATTCCATACGAACGCCACTAGTGACAATAAAAAGAAATGTGGTAGACTAACTGATGCCTCTTAAAACATAGTATATTTATGCCGAATTCCATTGAAATATCTGGAGTGCTATTACAGATATTAATGAAAAAACATTTATTTTTGAGAACTTTGCCACCCTATATCTCTAAAGTTAGGACGTTTAGGTCATACGTTCATAAAAAACTTCCTTCTTAGAATGAGCCCAAGAATCGCCTCCCTGAATATTGACATCCAATTATGAAACACTCTGTATATAAATATGCGTCTCAGAAGGTCCCGAGGCAGGAGGCTACACCAGACATTTGGCAGCAATTTAAACGTCGAAAATGTTGGTCCGTAATGGTTATCAGCAATGTTCTCGGTTCCTCTTGATTTTACAACGACATTATTTTTTTCACATGACAAAATGTGACGTTTCCGTTGTTCCAACCAATAGCAATCCGTTATCCTAGCCAATCATTCGGCATTATACTGATGCATGGTACTCGATAATTTACATCGAATTGTCAAAAACAAAACTATAAATAAAGAATAGACTCAACTGCGTGTATTATCTTATTCTTATGGGTATGTGTGGAAAACTACTTTTTTTTTTTTTGAACAACAACATTCCGGAGTTATACTTCAAAACTAGCCTGACTTACCTGGTTTAATAATTATTTTCTTATTCTTATATATGAGTTATCACTGTGCTGAATAAAAACTATTCCTGTCATGAACATGGAGAAAAAAATCTTCCCAAATACAACTCGTCCTTCAAATTTTATCGAATAATTTCTCATTTTCATCACTTACACTTTTTCATTCGAGGCAAAACTATTTATACAAATCGAATTAGATGAAACCACTCGTCCTACGGAGTCGTGATTTTATCAATCGGTGCCCAAATATTCTTGCCAAATAAAAAAGTTCCCGTGTAAAACTGAAAATATAATCGATAATTGAATACAAAAATCAATATGCTTGAAAAAAATATTTCCTTCGTTTTTATACTGATACTATTTACGATTGATTGTGTCTGTACATTTCACGTTCCAGTATGGAAACTTAACAAAAAGTTTTCCCATGACATAGTCACTCAATTGGATTCATCAAAGAAAGTCTTGCTCAAAATAAAATGTTATGGAACCTACATCATGTAGAATGATGGTACCTTTTCACTTGAATATGTATCAATAGGAATCAAATGTCTGTCATAGCTTCCTAACCTCTGGGACTCTGGCAACGTTATTGAAGACACACCAATATACGGGATGTTCGACAAGTACAGCCAACATTATTTTATGCTCAACTGACAGACTTCGCTTCGCTATCCATGGTTACATCATTGAAAACATCAACGCTATCAGCGCGACCACGCAGAAAGTTTTCGCTATAAGTACATTTTGTCTCTAGCTTGTGATTGGTCAGATGATGTGATGAGTGAAATAGTCAGGTAAATAATTGTCTGATTGGCTAATACCACTTGGTCACAAATATATAGATATAATAGGTTGAAATTACATGGAAAATATTTTCGATGTCTGATGAAAAAATGAATTCTCGATGATGTCCAATAATTGTACTGTAGCACCTCGATTATCCCTGCTCAACGGGCACGGATTATTGATGAGCACGGATAATTCGAACATTTGAATTTCGTATATAATATGCATGTATAATCATATGTGAATATTTATGTATATATGTATCTACATACTGAATGGATAACAAAAAAATATAGATTTCATAAGTTCAAACTCGCGGCGTATTTGAGAATTACCATTCACAAGTACTACAGGTTATTATTTAAGTAAGTCACTAAACTTCAAGGGGAGATTACTTGAGCGATTCTTAGACGAAATAGTATATTACGTAATATGTGTTGTAAGAAGCATATTACGCACGAATGAATTCCATCAGTGCGAAATTGCTTTACAACACGCATTACGTACTATACTTTACCTACTGCCATATATTACATCAAAAAAGTTTGGACAACCAGTCCGGATAATAATTCTTGAAAGTTATGCCATCCGCTGTTGACGGCGATTACGCGATCATGACATGACATACCTATACTGGCGGAATAAACGAAAACTGTGCGATGTGCTAACTGTGCGTAGAGAGCTACTTAGTGATGCTGTATCTTGTGTGCTCTTGCCTACTTTTTATATTGACCGTAGATTAAAGTTATATGAACATAGTTCCAGAAATGCTTCGTTTTCAATATAAACCTCCAACTCCCCCAAAACTGGGTTTACATCATATTTGAAGCGAGAAGGAAATAAAGTGGAATGTATTTTTTCTGTTGAACGAGTGCAGACATAGGTATTGTTTGAAACCCTAACTGTGGCGTTACACCAAAAGCACAAAAAGTTCATTTTCTTGTTATATCATTGAATGTATTTCGATGAAGTAAACATTGGAATTTGCAGCTTTGACAAAAATGTGTAATTTATTCTCGTCTTTGGGTAACTCTAATATAAATAGTAACCATCATTCTTGGAATTTCTGCAATTCGTCTCCAAACAAGACATATAAGAAAATATTCTCGCGGGGAGGCATATCGAATTTTCAGAACTGACGTTTTAAATATGATAATTTTTCTGTTCTGGTTCCCACGAAAAGGGTATCCTGTAATGTTCAGAGAACATCGTGAGTACCAAGGAAAATGAGGTAGGAATTGGTGTTCTTTTTAAATTTCTGATATGCCTCGAGGAACACCTCCCTTGTCAATGTGTTCGTTGAATGAACAAGTCTTTGGGAAAAGATATTCTGCAAGTCTCCAAAGTGACCACGAAGGGGTGAGAGGTCTCAACTCGACGGCTTAATCTCGCGGGGACTGCCAAGGGAGGACCAATTGTTAACATTTCAGAAGAGCATCGTCCATGGAAATATCTATAAAATAGAGCCAGATCGTCAACTTTTCTACGGTGTTCCAGAAAAGTGAGTGAGTTGGTGAGCGAGGCATCACCCACGAGACGAATTGTTATTTTTTGGACAGAATCCAACAGTTTCAGGGTATCTTTGGGTGCTGCACTCCAAATATGTCAACAGTATTCCAGGAAAAGACGGATCTGTGCCTTATAGATCATAATAATAATGATGACAATTCGTAAATGTCAGTAGTGACAAGAGCGTCCAGTCTCTTTAGAGGACGTGCAATGAGATGTACGAGGCACTCTACTTTATCCTAGTAACAAGTTTATTGATAAACTTATTTTTAGCTAACTCACAGTGACTGTAGCTCGGGAGGAATGGACATATGTTTGAATTAAGAAAACGTCTTATTTTGATCCCAGCAATATGTGCTTGGGATGTTTACATCTAATATTGAATCAGCCTGTATAGACAGACAAGTTTTTATAATATGCTGTTCGACATTATATTATTTCGAGGTTGACAACGAAATTATGTGCTGACTGGCTTGTCGAGTTCTGAGAAGCATTGCTCTTCGTAGAACCGATGAAATGGTGACAGTTCACATTTTTCATAATATTTCATAAGGTTTGAAGAGATATTTTCATCCCTAGAGTGTGATAAGCAGATGTGAGGTGGGATACTGCTTGGCGCAAATGAAAAATCACAGCTTACTTTTTTCTCGGTTCCCAAAAGAAATTGTTTTGAATAAATTACTGTAATTCCAGCATCCATTTGGACTAATGAGAACTTTCTTTACAGTATCCCTGTCTACAGTAGGCTGTTTATCTTCTTTATTCGAAAGTGCTTTCCTTCAGTGAGTGAGCTCAGGATTTGTGATGCCATCATGCAATTATGTGTGGCTATTAAATGGAATAATTAATTTTCACGATACTAAAGTCCTTATTCCTCTCTCTTTAAAGCTCTGGGGATGTATTATATAGGCTATAAAGAGGATCCAATTATTAATTCCTTTTTTTTTCTATTTTTGGTGTGTGTGACCAGCCGAGTTGGGACTGTACTAAACGATTTTCTGTATGATATTCTATATATGTTGATGGGTTACAAAATGTCACTTTTAATAATTTTTTTTCCACGAGAGAAGAGTGAGTAATTTTTTCTCGGATATATATAAGTACACTGTTGATGGCTTTTGTTGTGTCAGTTCCAAAAATAAGCCGATAATACCTTCTCCAAGAAAGAACTTGAAGTGCTTTCATCTTCGATTCTACTCCGCGGTTGAGTAAATTACTAAACAACCACTGAGTTCGCAATTATTTGATATCGAAACATAAAATCAGACTGACAGATATTTGATTACTTCAAAATAATGATAAATATGCCTGCAGCAAAATGCCTGCAACGCAGAAGTAATTTGTGTTAGAAACTTAAAATTTCTCGTCGATAATTTTCTGATTTTATCATAATGTAATTTCTTCTCAATATCGATTCGTTCTTTTTCATCCTGTCAGACAAAAAAATAGTATATTTTACACGGGAAAAATATTAGATTTTGACTCACGTTTTTTAGTCTCCGTCCGCTATCTACTACTTTTTTCCCTTGTATAATAATATCTATCATACTGCATAAACATATATGTTTTAATATAGATTTTCATGCATGAGATATCACGATGAAATGATAAAATATGGGAATTCGATTTGGAAATAAAATAGCTCCTGGCGAAGATTATTGAAATGAGGATTAAACAAACAGATAACTGTTTTCCAGTAACAATGGGTTGTTTCAGTGAAATGACATACACCGTGAACCGTGACAATCTAATGCAACTATAAATACGATACGTCTTATGTTTTGTGTATTGGTTGTTGAGAAATGTGTGTCGGTGTATCACGTCTTCATAAGCTAGAATAGAAATTCAGGTTATCTGTTCTATTGCAATACTTTTTGCTCTCCTATATGTTTTTCAGAAACTATGGAAATCGAGATGAATGCAAAAAGTTATTTACTTGTGATGACACTTAATTTTTCGAACACACTCTATTTGACATTACTCAATATTTGACTAGAAGGCCAAGAATGATCGAAAGCTTCCGTGAAATGTGTTAATGAAAGTCAATGACGAAACTTGAGAAACACAAAAATATCACATCCCATGTATTTCGGAAGAGGCACATATGCATATTATGCTTTCATGAGCTATCTTCTTCAAGCTCTTGAAATCCTGCTACAAAAAAATGACTCACCATGTACAGTGTGTCCAGTTTTTGATGCTTCTGCGTAATATCTCAGTTATCTCTCGGAATAGAACCTTGCCTGTACCACTTTTTTGTGAAACTCAAGATGGCCTAATCAGATTTTGTATAACTGTTTCCGTATATGAGATACAAGGCGATTTTGAAAATTTATACTTCTTGGACCCCCTCTATATCTACGGAGTTTTTCAGCAAAAATATCAAATCAAATTCTCATCCTATAGAGAATTTTTCGCAGAATCCAGTGGCGCACTCAACATTTTTTGTCGGGGTATGGTTTTGGTGGGAATCTTAAAACTTGCGCCAAAATCACTAAAACATTGAATTTAAATAGGGAACTATGGATTTTTCATATAAAACAGTTAAAATTGAAGGAATATTAATTTTGATTTTTCCATAAAGAGGACAAAAACAATACTAACGCTAATTGACTGAGAAAACACAAAAATTAGGTACCTGATAGCAACAAGTAAATAGTAAAGAAAAGTTCATGATGTAGAATAAAATAAGCACCAGATTGAATATTTACGAGAACAATTGAATTTCGGAATTATTCAATAACTTATTCATTGGATTGTTCGAATTGATGTACATTTCCCATAACACACATAAAGAACTGTGTCTTCTTGATACGTCTTGATACAGTAATAAAGAGGGACAACAGTCTTGAAGAACATCCTTGAATGATTCTGAATGCATCAAGACGTATCGAGAAAGAGAGTGAGGGAAAATGGACATCTATTTGAACAATTCAATCTATCATAAATAATTATGCGTATTGAATGAAATGCTCCTTACACTATACTAACTTGATATTGTTAAATATTTATTGACCTATGTACAGCATTTATTCATTTTTTTTATCCTTACTACAAGGTTAACTTCGTAAGGTTTTTCCCAGTTTATTCAATTACCTTTATGTTTATTCCAATGTATATTTTGTAAACGTTTTTGAATAAACTTATATTATTATTATTATTTATTATTATCATTATTCTACCAATATTATGAACTTTTTATCACTATTTATTTGTTGCTATCAGGTGGACAATTTTTGTGTTTTCTTAGTTAACTAGTGTTGCACGGAAAAAAAGGAATTGTTGAATCAAGCAAAATCTAATTGAATAGAGCAAATAAAAGTGTCATATATGCACGACAAAATATAATCTTGAAATGAGTAAATCTATATCTTGTTTCAGAGCGAATTTAAAGTTTGAATCAAGTAAATATGTCTTGCATGAACTCTGGATCTTCTTCAATCAAGCACATCCATGAATTGTTTATGAAGAGATATTGAATTGACTCAAACAAACATTTTGTTTGATTCAAAGTAACAAGATATTGATTCAATCAAATATTTAGTTGATTCAACGAAATATTTGGTTGATTCGAAGAAATATTTGGTTGATTCAATGAAATATTTGGTTGATTAAATGAAATATTTGGTTAATTCAATGAAATATTCTGTTGATTCAAGAGAAACTATATATCCATTCGACAAATTGTTCTGTTGAACCAAATTCAATATTCGGGAATTTTCTGAAATTTCATATCAATAGAATAAACAAAACTAGGAAACTAGTCGACTCCTAGCATAGATCATAGATCTTCAGTCTCTACTTCTCTTTAGCTGATGGAAAACTATTTCGGATTGCTAATCATCCTAAGTTCGACTTATCCAGCTGATATTTCAAACACGAAGAATCAGGCTTTACGTATATAATGAACTCGAGGCAGGCATAGACGAGGCGAAATGATCGCCATCTAGAGGCAAAAATTAAGTTGATGTAGAATGAACAAAATATTTCATTGATATTACATATTTCGTTGCCCTATTCAAGCAAATGATCCGTTCGAAATGAGTTCATTGATACATCGAAATAAGACAACTTGTATGTTGTTTCAAAGATATATTCTCATCAAAATGATCATTGTTTGATCAAATCAACGAAATGTTCATAGTTGAATCAACATCGACATTATTTTGGATCGACATAATTTGTTTTTGAAGAAACCATATATTTTGTTGATGGAATTGATATCATACTGTTGATTCAATTAGACTACATTTTTGATTTGAACAAGCTGCTTCCATGGAATAATCAAAAATAACTCAGGCATAAATAATTTGTTGATGCAACAAATCCTTTTTTTCCGTGTGGGATTATTTTTGTCTTTTTTATGGAAAGATAAGATGAAATATCCCTCCACTTGGAACTATTTTTGAATAAAATATCCATAGCCCACTATTAGAATCCAATGTTTTAGTTATTTTGGAGCATTTTTGAAAATTTTATATTTATACATCATATTTCATTTTGATGGGGAAAAAATGAAGAATTCAATGAGCTTATGACATACACAATGCTCCTTTCGAAAAATCATGAGTTTGAGTCGAATCTCCAAAACCATACCCCGAAAAAAAAAATTAAGTGCTCCACTGGATTCTGCGCAAAATTCTCTATGAGAAAAGATTCGAATTTGACATTTTTGCTGAGAAACCTCGTAGATATGGAGGGAGTCCAAGAAGTATAAATTTTCAAAATCGCCCTGTATCTCATAAATGCAAACAGTTATGCAAAATCTGATCAGGCCATCTTGAGTTTCACAAAGAAGTGGCAATGGACCGCGGAAACCGCAAGGTTCTATCTCGAAAGATAACTGAGATATCACGCAACAGCATCGAAAACTGGACACACTGTACAATGTGTACATACCGAGGAAAGGAAAGCATCCTCACTTGGTATGTAAATAGCTATCGTAACCCTTGGTAACAGAAAGGATCCTCACCTGGCACATTGCGGATTTCATCTTCATAGCTGGGTTTGCTGGGAGACCTAGGCGACCTGGGGGACCTAGGAGATTTACTAGGAAGTCTGACGGAGTCGCTCTCACAAAAATCGAAAATGGCCCGTTCGGAATGGCTGGGGCTTCTCAGGGAAACTTTCGGCGATTTCAGGCCCATCTTGTCGATCTTGGAACTCTGATGGTTGGGTGATTTCTGATCCATTGCGGGCTTAGACAGGTCAGAAGGAGAGTCTGTAACGAAGAGAAAACCATTGGGGATTTTCGGTTCGACAGGTCGTTCAATTAGCGCATTCATGAACATAAAATGAATTAAATGAATACAAAAAGATCATCAAGTCATTTCCACACAATGTTCATGAAATGAACAACAATGGTTGATTTTGGGAGAAAAACAACTACTTTCCTGGCTTCCAGTTTTTGGAGTGATTCTGTCTTTCTGTTTTACTCAGATGGCGTTGCTTTCATATTGCCGATGAAAGACGCCTCTGGGGGAATATAATGCCGACTTGAGTTTCGTTTGGCTAGGCTACGCTGAGTTGGCGGTCTTAGGACTGCTGGCTGGAGACTACACTGCACTGATGGGAGTCAAAGTGCTTGAAACCGGTCTGTGGTTGTCTAGCGTGGCCTGGCTAAATCGAAATCAATAGGCATTCAGGAAAGAATCGATTCGATTGATTATACGAGTCGATGCATAGATATATGAGGATATCATTCAATGTTCTACGTGGCATCAGCCAGAGAAGTGGTTGTTTTTTTCCCGAAATCTACCATTGTTGTTCATTTTATGAACATCGTGTGGAAATGACTTTGAGCTTTTTGTATTTATTCACCATTTCATTCCACCTTGAGCATTGTGGCTATTTCGTAGTTGATAAAATTAATTTTTCGAAAACAGAAAATATACGCCAACCTTATATTAGAAGAAAAACATAGTTATGATAAGATTTCAGAAATTCTACACGTAGAAAATAATGGAATAGAACTCGATCATCTTGAATCATTAGAAATCAACAAACGTGACGATCAACTATACCTCAATAGTTGAATTTATTTTCTTAGTAGGGAATAGTATGTATTTGCTATCAACCCTTTCATGTTAATCCGGTACACCGTATTTCAATGTATAAATTGTGCCTATTTTCCGAAGCTTTCCACAGGTAATTCTGATCCTTCAGGTTGGAAAAGTAGGATATACCGGGTGACACAGGAGACATGTAGCAGCCTGTAGTTTTTTTATTTAGAGAGATAAGATTTTGATTTTCACAGGGGGTATATAATAAATGGTAGCGCACTTGACGAACTTAACGACAATTTTATCCAACCACCTGTTTGACCGGAAGTGACCTCAAGTGTTTTTTTTTTTTCATAAGTCACCCTGTACATTTCTTCAGTCTATATTTTTTGCCTTGGAATTCTCTATCCAACCATGTATCACAAAGTGCATTTATTTCTCAATTCGCTGTTGAATTGCTTTTTATTCAAAGAGAATAAGTTGGCTGTGACATTGATATATCGACACTTGGTAGGCTTTGAAATTTGAAGATCATTATTAAACCGATATGATTCAAAATGTTTCGATATTCTGATCAATGTCTGCAGGTTGTCAATAGCTTGTTTGAGTCGAGATGAAAACCTTCGAAAATAACTCATGATATTGAGGAATCTAAGATAGGAACATATTTTTTCGAATTTAGCTACTCGTCTTTTATTTTCGCCATGTACCTATCACATGATCTTCCCATTTGGAATAATAAAACTGAAATTGTTCCTCTCATATGATGATCCACAGGGCTATCAGTCTAATTTTTCATAATTATTTCACTTAGTAGGCGGTTTACCTACACAAAATGTTTTATGTGTTTGACAGTTAATCGATTGCGTCAATAATTTTTCTTCTTCATTTGTGTGTTGATTAAAATTGTATTTGAAAAAAAAAGTTGGGGTCACTTCCGGTCATACAGGTGGTTGACAAAAATTGTCGTTAAGTTCGTAAAGTGCGCTACCATTTATTATATACCCCCTGTGAATTTCAAAATGTTATCTCTTCAAATAAAAAAACTACAAGCTGCTACATGTCTCCAGTGTCACCCGGTATAATAGTTAGGCAAGCTAAGGTTAGTTTAGTTCATTGTACCAGTGATTCACCTGATGAAGCTACTGTGTTAGCGAACCATGTGATGTTATTGCAATTGAAAATATATTCATTGAAAAAAGTTCTAGTCTTTAATTATTTGAAATGAGTCATTTAGTATCATGGAATTGTCTGCTATTATTTTCATAAGGAAATTCAAGTCGCTTCCCATCTAGCAATGAGACTTATAGAGGAAACGAACGAATCAGAATTTTAATTATGATCAGCTGCGGAGATAAAGTGAGGACTCAGGAAGAAGATCGTGATTTATTCAATACTGAATACTCGAACCGAGAACCCGTTTCTCAATCGATGATAATTAGAAAAATCGAGAGAAAGTTGTGGGAACCTGCTACCTGCTCATGTGGAAGATATCTCTAGAAGTGGTAGAAATCTATTCCAGAAGCCGAAAAATTCAACGTGGTACACACAAAGAAGAAATGATCGCATTGGCCCAAGAAAATAATTTGTTTGCATGCAGGGTGTTAATCAATTTAGTGTCGATAATACAAGATGTGAATCCCTGGGTGATTTTAAGGAGAAAAGTTTATATCAACATATGTCCTGAACCTCTGAGGTTTTGAGCAAAATGGACGCCCTGATTTCGAATCCGAAGTGATTTTCAACTTATATTGCCTCCTAGAATAATTTTCCGGTAATGTGGGTGGTTCGTGCCTGAATTCAAATTAGAAGAACTAACGAATTTCCTTACCAATTTGAATTCGATTTTCACTGATGATTAACCTAATCTCTTGAAAGTTTCTTGTGGCAATATGAAACTTCAAAAATGAATATAAATTTCATACTTCTGGAACTACAATTGTAATTTTTTGAATTTTTCAATTTATATAAACGAAAATGCATCATTTTGATTAAAAATGCGTACCTTCATTATATGACCTTTGATCCAAATTGAAAATTACAAAACCATTTCGAGGTCAGACGCTAGACATCCTCAGAAGTAACACTCCATTATTTCAGTATTAACACAGAGAAAATTATGTTTCATCTACTGAAGACTACGTTATTCGCCATTCAATCATTGAGTATTTCTTGTATCACTTTGTATGGACTTCTTCAGAATTTTCTGTGTTCGAACACAATCACATATCCGACGAATATAAATACAACTTTGATTCTTCGACAAAGAATTCCAACTTTCTATTCCATTCAATTAATCGTCGATAAAATGCATCGTTTCTAATCAATATTCATAACACAATTATCAAAGCTCTGAATTTGAAACTTTCGAAAACTTGTCGAGAGAAAGCATCAATCAAGAGCATACAGGTGAGAAAACAAAATAAAAAAATGTATCTGTCCAAAACGGTACAATTTTACACCCATGCAATTATCACCTTGTAGCAATGTTATCTAAAATGACAGAAGTTTCATATTGCCACAACAAACTGTCAAGAGATTAGGCTAATGTCATCGGTGAGAACCGAATTGAAATTGGTGAAGAAATTCGTGAGTTGTTCTACTTTGAATTCAAGCTATATTTTGGACCACGACGATATCAATGTTGACCAGTTTATTTATATTTCTGAATCAAGAAAATTACGTATTGCTTCAACATATTAGGTTTTTGCACTTTGAGAAAACTGTACATATCATTCTATGGAATGAGCATTATTCAATTAAATTGAATAATAATAATAATAAACTTTATTCATGAAATAAGAATTGTAAAGAGTAGTTACATATGAGTAGTAGTATAAATAAAGTTGGTAATCAATAAGTGCGATGCACTTGTTTCGATTATAAGTAAGAATATATAGGAACAATGAAATTACAATATGTTCATTAAAGGTAACAACTGCCATAAAATACTATCAAATGCTATAAAATGCTGTAAAATAGAATGTAGACAATAAAAGAAATAAAATACTATACAGATACAATAAATGCAGAAAGCGCAATAAAATGCAGAAAAAATACAATAAAAAAAAAATTTTTTCCTTATGATTATAGTTGAGGTAAGAAGGAGATGGTATATAATTTAGTCATTGTTTTTGCCATTTTGACTCTATCAAAGTAGTAAAATACAATCTAGGAGTCTGGAGTAAAAAAAATCTCAGTTGCATATTTACATTATTGGATCCAGCAATAAGCTTATTGAAAAAAAATGCGCTTCTGCAAATTGGAAAGCCGTTTTGATCGAGTTGAAGTAATACATTTAGTATTCGAATAATTGCAATCTTGGTTTGAGCATATATTTCAATAAAATGATACTATTTTCTTGAACATTCAGATTTTTTGTCCCAAAAGAATATGCTCAATTCAAAGAAGGTATACAATTGAATTTTCAAAAGAAATTTTTCAGAAGAATTTTTTTCTGTGTGTACCAAATTGCATTCTAAGAAAACTGCCATATCAGTTCAAGGCAAGTCATACTAGAAATAATTTACAGTAATAGACGGTTGTTGAAGTATCGACAAAAGGAGAGTGGCATCCGTATATAAAGTTCATCTGGTCCAAGAGCTTTAGGAGATAACTTTGATAGAAGAGGTGAATTCTGCGAAATCATGATGAAACGCTATGAGAGAGATCGGAGTTTCATACCAGAGGAATACCCTTCTCAGATGAGGCTTCTTTTATTTTATGCTCAACAATCAGGTGAACAGTCAGATGTTAAGATACTATAGGCAAGAAGAAATCCATATTTTGGATGGGAGGAGCATAGCACACAATATTACCTACAGGTGAATTTTTGGGTAGGAATTTTAAACAACCAACTTATAGGGTCACACTTTCATGAGGAAAGCGAAACTGGTGATGTTAATGCACAATTTATTATGGGTAATCTGATGCCACAACTGAATCAGCCATTTACGAATCCAGATAGAGGTAAATTATTAATGCTCAATTTCGAAAACACTATTAGTTGTGTCTCATTTTTTGCCAAGGAATCTCTCATATAACGTGCCTCATGGTTTTTTAATCACACTCAAAGCATTTTTGGAAGTTATATCATAAACAGCTGGAGCACATGAAATACAAATTCCTTCATTCGATTGATCGATTACGTGTTTGCACCTTGTAGAAATTTACTACATATTTGAATTTATATACATAATTATACATATAGAACGAGGAA